AAAAACAGATACAATATCCAAACCATCAAGCAGAAAAGGGGACTATGATGGGTTTTTTTGGCAGTACTGGAGTTTGAACGCAGAGCCTACCCCCTTGCTAGGTAGGTATATTCTAGCACTTGAGCCACAATTCCAGCCCTTTGTGCTTTAATTATTTTTCAGATAGGGTCTCCAGTTTTTTTTCCAGACTGACCTTTGATGATTCTCCTACCTATGCCTCCTATGTAACTGGAATTACATGCTTGAAACACTGCCTCCCAAGTACCTGGGTTTAAGGAGCTTTGAATTTTAATAAAGGGTGACTGAGGAGACTTATGGGATCAAGTGACAGTAAGCAGAAATAGAGCAAGTGAGGGTGTGGTCACAAGGGCCAGAGCTGCAACTGTCTGGGCAGAGACAACAACCAGTGCAAAGGTCTTGGCCTGTTCCAGAAACAGCATGGAGGCCAAAGTGGCTGGAGCAGAACCAGCAAATGGAAGAGCAGGAGGTGACACCCTGGCTAAGTAGGGGCCCAGGAGGGCCTTGCAGGCCTTCATAAGGATTTGGCTTTTATTCTGTGAGAAAAGCCACTGAAGGCTTTTGATTAGCAGAAGGAAACTAATTTAACTTTGACTCATATGGAGAATAGACAGTAGTAGCAAGAACAAAAACAAAGACCAATTAATTACGAAGCAATTATACTAATCCAGAGTAGAGGTGACATTATTTATGACAAGGGTGCTAGATACAGAATTTGTGAGAGAGATATTTTGATTATACAGAGTGAGTAAATGACGGAGCTAGGATTAGACCTCAGGTTTCTTTTCTTTCTTTCTTTTTTTTTTTTTGAGACAAAGTCTTGCTTTGCAGCCCAGACTGGCCTCAAACTTGCAACCTCCTGCCTCAGTCTCCTAAATTCTGGGATTACAGGTATGTACCACCACACCAGCTTAACTATTCTGACACAACATGCAAGGTTCCTCTCCCAGAGAATTAATGTGAATTCCTCAAAAACAGTTAAAGAACAACCCAAATAACACATAGACCATCTCTGTTGAAGATTTGTAATATAAATGACACAGTGAAGGACCTGAGAAGTCATGCCATAATAAAATACATTTAACTGGAGTTGGGGATGTAGCTCCAAGGTAGAACACTTGCCTTGCATGTCCAAGGCCCTGGGTTCAATCCCCTGCACTGCAAAAATAAATACATAATATTTTTAGATTTACTGAGCATATCACAAACTCCTGCAACCACACAGTCCTTTTTTAAAACATGCCAAGTTTGGAGGTACACTTGCTGAGGCAAGCTTGGGCTACATTGCAAGATCCTGTCTCAATAAAACAAAACAAAACAAACAAAACAAACAAAAAAATTCCACTTACTATTTTGAGAGACGCTAGTGCTCAAGTCACGTGGTTTGAGAAATGAGCTACAGGTATGCTTTACCTTACTGCAAGGCCCCCAGAGGCAATGCTGAAGTTTCATTGACAGTTATATGCCTAGGGCAGCAAGAGTGAGGGCAAAAAAATAAGACAGAAGACAGGAGGCAAGCACAAAGTGATGCCACACCTAAGCTGGTCACTGCTCGGTGAACCACAGACAGCTCATGACTCACCACATAGGATGCTTGTAGGCTGGCAGATTAGAAAACTGTGCCTGGAACGGTCCTTCCAGGAGGAAGAGCAGGGGATTTGCCTACTGCTTTCTCTCTGTCTCTCGCTGGAGAGAGTATATTCCACAGTAACACCAGGCCCTTCAGGCAGCTGCTGGGGAAGCCAAAGCGCATAGCCTGTGGCTGGGTGCATCTACTGAATCTGAGAACAGGAGGAGCCAGAACTGCCATGCGACCAGCTGGGTCGGGTTTGGGATCTGGCACCACAGAGGATGCCCCACAGCAGGGGCCATCGAGGCCAAAGCCTGACCATCACCCATGGGAGAAGACAGCCAGCTTTGCTGGTGCCTGTGGAACTGTGAGCAAGCAGTCCAGGGTCTGATGCACAGATGAGGCCCAAGGAACCTGAGAGAACATCCATACACTTAGGAAATGTAAAAGGGACAAATTACCTAGAAGAGGTAAAAAGGGACAAAGTACCTAGGAGACAGACGAGGAGACAAGTGTACCTAGGAGAGGTCAAATGGGACTGAGATGATGATTTCCCATAATAACTTGCCTGTGTTTCCTGGGGAGATGGGGGAGAATGACATAGATTAATAAACAACTTTTCAAAAATATTCTATATAGAAACAGAGTGAAGAATTAATTATAAGGAAGGATTTAAGGTATCACAGGAATGAGGCCACAAAATTCTTTAGCCTGGGGAAGCATGAGGCATGAGCCAAGTCACCTAGGTCACTCTGCCCTGACACCATCAAGATGATAAATAACCCCAGGAAAAGCTTTTCCCGCTTATCACAATCCTTTCCTGGAACATACAGCTCATGTGAGAAATGACTGATACACTAATGTAACTGTAGCAGCCCACTTGCTCTAACTCCCCTCTTGTCCTTTTTTATAAAACCAGACCCTTTGGATGCCATATCACAGCACTGTGGGCAACTATGATACACTTCCCCAGGTAGCCATCCTTGCTTTGGCCTGAATAAACTCCTGGTTCTTAGATTCCAGGTGTTGACAGTTACATAATTATCAGTATCTCACAACCCACATACACAGCAGCCTGCAGCACCTGTTCCGGGTGCCCAGGGCCTCTGGAAGCAGGGAACAGACAGTGTAGCTCAGGCCCCAGACTCTGAAAGGTGCAGTCAGCCAGCACGCAGGGATGTGTTCCCGTGAGCAGATAGACAGCACAGGGCAGAGACTCAGGACAACAAAATTCCCTCAAAATTAAATTAAAAAGGTAATTTTAAAAAAATGTATAAGCTTTGCTTATTTTTGCTTGAAAATGAAGTCCAAGTAACAGAGATGAGTTGTTTTAAAATTAATGCCTTCGTTACTCTTTGAGGAATGATTTTAGCAATAACTCTACACCTAAATTAATGTAATAAATTGATTGCACACTAACAATTAGAAACTGTTCACCTCAACATCCACTTAGCAAAAAATGAAACTTGCTGTTTTTCTACATAAGTGGCAAAACAAACTCAAGTAGAAAAAGCAGAGAAATTGCTTTTCACAGGGAGAAATGATTCACAGAGAAAAATCAAGTCAGATCTAAAACAAAATGAAGGATAAAGGATAATGTCATTATCTATATTTAAATCCAATGGCACTTGTCTGTAGTTCCATCTACTTGGGTGGATGAGGCAGGAGGATGATTTGAGCCCAGGGCATTCAGGGTCAGCTTGGGCAACATAGCCAGACCCTCTCAAAAAAATAAAAAGTACATGTTTTAAAAACAGGGCTAGAGGGGTATAGTTCAGTGGTAGAATGTTTGTCTGTCATCAGCAAGGCCCTGGGTTCAACCTCTAGCATAAATTAATAAATAACTTGCCTGCATTTAAATTAAGAATAATATAATAAATACACACTCTGAGGTCATCACACAAATGGTGTTATCTGGGTCCTAGAGCTTGGTGACACTTTTTTCTTGTCCTACAGGAATAAGCCTGCCAGGCAGACAACATAGCTATAAATAGACCAGACAGCATAGGAGTGCATAGGAGGAGCATGGCTCAGTTTTACAATCCAGTTACCCATTTTTTCATGACCCCTATCAAGCTGTTCTTTCACACATTTTATCACTTTCATCTTACTAGGAGAATCTCTCACTTCTGTTCTATTAATAGTCACATAATTCTGACACCACATGTATGGGGCTTGCCTCCCACAGCAACTAATTCTCCAACTCTCTGGACACCAACTAGATGTTCCACAACTCAATGCTGATGTCACCTGAAGTTAGCACAGAACCCAGAGTAACGGTGACTCAGTCCGACAAGACTGGCCCCATTTCAGACACAGATCACAACTGATGGGTTACCCATCAGTATGGTTCTGACTTGGCTACAGACTGGGTTCCTCCAAGCCCCTTATTATGGATGGGAATTTGCTCAGAGGAATCACAAAACTCAGGGAAAAATAAATCAGGTGTCTACTCTTTTTAGGGCACAGATGAGTAGCCAGATGAAGACCAAAGAAGTTCAGAAGCTTCCTTTCAGAGTTTTCTCTTACATGCTCTGTCCTCATAGTTAGGGGATACCACCTTCCTGGCACATCAATGTTTGCCAGCCAGGAAGCTCTCCAAACTCCATAGTTTAGGGATTCATCATGTCAGCATGATAGATTATTAACTCCCCACCCTAGGGGGAGGGGTGGGGCACTGAAAACTGGAACCTTCTAGTCATGGCTTGGTGTTTCTGGTGAATGGTCCCCATCCTGAAACCATCCATAAACCCTCCAAGAATTGCATAAAAAGATGCTCCTATGGACACGAAATTGAAGGGATTTAAGAGCTCCATGGGGCCAAAGACCAGAACAAAAATGCACACCTATCATTCAGGACATTCCAAGGTTTAAGAGCTCTGAATAAGGAAGCAGAGATAAAGAATGAAGATACATATTTATTATTTCACAATATCACAGCATCTGAGTACACCTTCATTATACTTTCACTGCAGGTTGAAGTCTTCAGAGTGCTTTATACTGTATGCAGCTCAGGCAAGCAGTCAAATAACACAGGGGAATGCAGTAATCAGATGGATAAGCGGCCTCCAAATCCACTTCCTGGAAGTCTACCTGCAGATTGAAGTGACTTTGGTGGAATTGAGACAATAATGACCTTAATTCCAAAGAGACTGGGTGTCCTTGACCTTTTCCTTCCAATGTCCCAGGCTTGCCATTTCACTGGGTCTGCAGTCTTGTCCACTGAACATGTGCCTCCTACAGAAGCTCATTTGGCAGTTGGTTAAATATTTACTGAAAGGCAGTGAATGTTGTAAATACATATGTTTTATCCACAAAGGTTTTATTTCTAAAACAGGAAAAAGACATGAAAAAGCTAAATAAATTATATAGGATTAGCCTCTATGCCCTACTGCAGCCAGCTCCAAAGACTTCAGGTTATGACATAACGAGTGAGTCCTCCCCCTCGGACCTCTGACAGCCTCCGGCAGTGTCGCAAAATATTCAGGATTGTATAGAACCTCTTGTCAGCTTTCAAAGTCGTGAACTCCTTTATGTCAGCTTCCACTATAAAAAAATGACCTGAAAATAAGGATGTTAGTGATAACTTTTATGTAGTCAACTCTCAAGATGAATCTTTAAGCCATTAAACTATGAACATGAGTGCCATTAATCTTTTTTTTTGGTGGACTGGGGTTTGAACTCAGGGCCCTGAGCTTGCTAGGAAGGTACTCTACCACTTGAGCCATGCCCCTAGCCCTTTTGTTTGCTTTTTAGTTACTTTTCAGCTAGGGTCTTGCTTTTTGTGCCTGGGGCCAGCCTTGGACCTGTGCCTCCAGCAGAGCTGGGATTACAGAAATGAAACACCACATCTGGTTTCCATAAACCATGGAGATATGGTCTCACTAACTTTTTGCCTGGGCTGGCCTCAAACCAGGATCCTCCAGACCTCTGCCTCACAAGCAGCTGGGATTATAGATGTGCCACCACATTTAGCCCACATTTATCATTCTTACTGTCATTATCCAATCAAACTGAGAAACTGGGGCTGGCCAAGTGGCTCAAATGGTAGAGTGCCTGCCTAGCAAGTGTGAGGCCTGGAGTTCAAACCTCAGTGCTGCAAAATTTAAAAATAAATAAAACCTGCAAAAAACCCCCCAAAAACCAAGAAACTGAATTCTTGCTAAAATAATAGTTATTCTAACAACTGAAGCTGCATGATATTTACTGTAGCATTTATCAGTATTGGTATCTCTGAACAACCCACTCTTCCAAACGTGTTACATAGAGGTGGATGACAGTGAGCTCTCTGCCTCATTGGCAAAATGGGATAAAGTACTTGTGAGGACTAAAGCTCCCAGCACACCATCTGGCACACAGTATGACCAACTATTATTGTTGCTATCTGAATTCTCAATGCATGGGTACAGTTCCACAGTAGACTCTCAGGCAGCGTTGCTCAGTCTCACCACTACAGACCTTTTGGGTTGTACCTTTTGGTACAACCTGTGCGTTGTGCGGTGTTTCAGCAGCATCCCTGGCCCCACCCACCAGATACAAAGAGCAATTCCTACCCCACTGGAACCACCAAAGGTATCTCCAGGATGACAATGTCCTCAGTGGGAAAACTGTCTCTGGTTGAGAATTAACTTTCTAGATTTAGAACTTTCTAGGATTAGCTTTGTTCCTCCAAAACAGTTGGCATGTACACAAACATGTGCCATAATTTTACCTTTAGTATCCTTTGTTTCTTCATTAATAAATCTTTGATAGAGATTTCTATTCACAGAATTCATAGATGCTTTTGGCTGATGCATAATCTTGTATTTACCAACCACTGCCTTGTTGATTTCTTTAATGACATCATTAATTTGACAATAGGTTAAGCGAGACTTCATGTACCTGAAAAAAGTATATTTTTAAATCATCACACAAATTATTTTCTTTGAAAAAAAATCTAAGCATGATGACTTCATATAGTATCAAAGTACCCTACTGTAAAACCAATTTTATGTCAACTTTCAAATAGACTAGACACATCTCAACAGCTGAAAACTTAGACATGACAACGTATCAGTGCCTAACTTCCCTAATTATATCCGGATACATTCATCCACTCTCTACCTATGCTGTATTAATATTAAAACTTAAAATAAGCTTTCAAGTTCTAATTCAAATGGACTGAATAACTACAAGATATGTTTATTTAAACATTTAAAAATGTGTGCAAATAAAAGAAAATTTTAAATGTTGATTAAGTGTACTATTGATAGCACTCTTTTTTGAAAAACATGCATTCTGAAAAGGAAAAAAGGAGGAAGAAGCAAAAGGCCAAAAGGCAAGATAAAAGATGACACAGACCACAAGGAAGACAGTGGTAACTAAAACTGACAGAGCCGGCTACAGGGGAACGCCAGCACAGAGAGAGTGGGGCTTCTGATTTTCAGCTGCAAGGGCTGGGAACCACTGCAGAGCCATGCTCCTTTCGACTGGCTAGCTCAAATTCCTTTAAAGTGGGCCCTTTCACTCTGAAGTCCCTCATCCACCTGGATCTCACTCTTGCCTGTCCTCTGGTCACCATGGAGCCAGTCTTACGATATAAAAATAGGATAATTGATTTTGAGGGATCTAAACACCAAAACCAAAATTCAATGATCTGCCCCAATTTTCCCACAACAAATTGTCCTTCACCTCTCCTCAGAGTGGCAGTGTTTCAATTAAAAGCTCTTTAATGCAAAATAATACAGGAACTTTTATTTAAAGGAGAATGTCTGTATTTAAAAAAAAATCCATTTTTTAAATTCTTTTCTAAATTCACTTTTGCAGCCCTGTTTTTTCCAAGCAAAATTTTCAAACTCCTGATGCTTGGCTTTCCCCAACATACTTCAGAATGCCTCATCCTCTCAATTCTCACCTTCAGTCCCAATATCTACCCCAAATCTGTGCCCTCAGTATTAATTTTTAAAATAAATAGAAGTCCTATGCTTGGGATACATTCTTAGTTATCCTAATCTTCTAACTTTACCTCTCATTCATTAACTAGCTCCTTAGTTTAAAAATGAATATTCCACATGACTATTCTCATTTCCTTCCTTCATCTCTTCACAGAAGCAGTTCCTCAATACCCCTTCACTCAACTGTTCCTTCTAGCCATTTGCTCTTCACACTGGTCCACGTGGTAAGCAGAAACAATTACAACCAAAAATGAATAGCATCAAAGTGTCAACCCAGTCTTCTTTCCTAAACAATGGGAGGGAGAAAGACAACACAGGGGAATGGGAGGTTGAATATGACCAAAGTACATTATATATGTCAAAATGAAAACGTCAAAATGAAACCCATTATTTTGTATATTAATATACACTAATAGAAATCATTTAGAACAAAAGAACAAAGTAAACATCAGAAGCAGACTCAGAAATGAAAGAGATGTGAGAAGTATGAAAAAGTATGTTTAATATGCTAAGGGCTTTAATTTTAAAAGGACAAAATGAAAAAATAGATGGGTAAAGTAATCAGAGATGGAAACTCCAGAATCAAAAGGAAATGCTAAAAAAAAAACCTCAGAAACAGAAATGAAGGTGCGCTGGTGAGCTCATGGACAGACTGGACTTAGGTAAGGAATGAATTGACCAAAACATCCCAAGATGAGATGCAAAGAGGGAAAACAAAGCAAAAACAAATAAAAATATACCACAAAATCCAAGAACAGTGACACAATTAGAAATGGTATGAAAACACATAATGGGAATACCAGGAGGAAAAGAAAATATATGCAAAGAACTCTAAAAACTAAACAATAATAAAATAAACAACCCCACTTAAAAAAAAAAGCTAACAACCTGAATAGACACCTCACCAAAGCAGATACACAGATGGTAAACAAGAATATGAAAACATGTTCACTATCGTAAGCATACGATCCAGCAATCAGGTGCAAAGTATTTAACCAAATGAGTTGAAAACTTAGATCCACACTAAGCCCGTGCATGAAAGGCACTTATAGTGTCTTTGTTCATAACTTCCCCCAAACTGGAAGAAACTAAGACATCCTTCAGTAGGTGAAAGGATAAATAACTGTGATTCATCAGACAATGGGATGTTATTTGGTGCTAAAATGAAATAAGGTATCATGCCATAAAAAAAACATGAAGAAGCGTAAATCCATATTGCATAAAAGAAGCTTGTCGGAAAAGGCTACATACTATAAGAATACATCTATGTGACATTCTGGAAGTGGCAGTGAAAAGATCAGTGGTTGCCTGGGGCTCAGTGAGAGAAATAGAGATAGCGAGCACAAGACACACAAGACAGTGAAAGTCTTTGATGACACTGCAATGACATGGATGACGCTCTGAAAGTGAAATAATCATGCCCTTTGCCCCAGAAACTCTCTTCCTAGGACCCTGTACTAAGGAAGTAAGGAGCGCAAAATAAACTTCAGTAAAAGAAATCTCACCATACCATTATATGTAACAATGAAATCAACCCAAAATCTTATTTAGAGAATGCTTAAATAAATTATACAATCACCACATAAAATATTGTAAAGTTATTAAAATCCAAATTTTTAATGATAGAAAAATCCTCATGATAAAATAAATAATTGTATTTAGAGTATAACCACAGCGTATTAACAATCTGAAATACCTGTCACATATATGTAATTAAATAAAATCTGGTACCTGAATGCTAGAATTAGAAATGAATTTTGTTTTCTGAATATAAATACTGTCTAACAACATACATTATTTGTAATAGAAATAACAAAAAATGTCACACAATATAAAACTTGTAAGTTAAACCAAGCCCTGGAATTATGAGAATTAAGAACATGAAATTCCATAACTGGTTCTCCCATTGTTGCTATCAGTAAAAAACAAAGGTACTCTCCCTTCAGGGGAGGCACCATGTCTTCTCATTTCTGTGTTCTCAGTGACAGGGCTTAGAATACAGCACAGGCTCAAACGAGTGTGTATGACAAGAGACAAATGGAAACACACCAATTTCCTTAAAATTACAGCACAACTGAGGTTACTTCTAAGATGTGTTTGGGAAATCCGTATCACAGAATGGTCCTAGAGAAGACCTAGGCAACAAACAGACCCATTGCTATGAAAACGGGTTTTACAACTAAACAGAAAATACAACTTTAAGCACTTTCCTGCCTTTTCACAGTACAATGTAAAACTATACACAAGATCAGTTATTTGAACACAGCACACAATTAATATCATGCCTTCTGATTTAAACAATCAAGTATGTTGATTATTAAAAAGCTGAACATTAAAATTTATCTTCAGTACTTACGCAGGAACACTGTTGAAATCATCAGTAGTTATAAACAGCATTTCTTTAATACTTCTTTCTTTTGCAGGCTTCTTTACAGGTGCAGGTTCTTCAACTTTGACCCGTTCTTCAGGGTCATGATCTGTTCCGTTAACTCTACCGAGTAAAGATGTACATGTGTACAAGCAATTGTTAGGATTAAGCAGCGCACTGGAAATTTTTCAACTGAAAATAATCAACCTTAAACACATGCCTCATTCTGTTATTTTATAACCAACATTTGTTTCTATCCCTACCCCTTCCCGATGAAAATGTGAACTGTGAAGGAAATGTTGAAATCTTCAGAATTATGGCTATCTCTATTTACGTACACATCTGAAACATGGTATATGCATATCGTCTGTCCCATGGCTCCTCATAGTCAGCATAGGTAAAGTTGAACCATCTTAACCCCTACTTAGCTTCTCTCCCTGACTGCCCTTGTTCTGAAGCTGGAAGCATCAGTCATCTCCATTTATTATAATGTATTCTGTTAGTAGGTAGTGCCAGTCACTGACTATTGCAGACTCATTTTAGTTGCCAGCAATGAGTATGGGTAGCCACTGGATTCAGTCTGCCCAATTTTATTCAGTGAGAGCCTACTACAGCTCCCACTAGCAAATGGAGCCTAGAAACAGACTATAGCTTTTAGGTTTACCTGCCAGTGAAGGAACAGACCTCTGCTGCTATAGTGCTTAAAAGAAAATACCAGACACAGAAAACTGAAAATTCAATACAGAATAAATCCAAGAAAATGCCCAGAAAGATGACAAGTGGTGATTCTATTCATTAATGAGAACAAGGGAGAGGAGAGAAACAAAAGCCTTCAGAGGTAGAATGCAGACAATGGCTAAGAGAGAGAAAAGGCAAAGATGGCAAGTCCCTGCCTGTGTGATGGAAGCAGTGGGTAAAGACAGCTACTAACTCTCTTCAGTCTCAGACTTGCAAAACTTCAGGAGGAAAGAGCTCCCTGATCACATTCTCAGCAGGCTATGAGATCACCATTGGAGTTGGACATTTGAGCACTGACAGTGGAGTTGGGTAAGCAGGAGTAAAAGAGCTTTGGGGAGACACTTGTAGTTAAGGGAGTGCAGAAAGGAAGGAGGCAGCTGCATCCTAGATCCAGGATGACAGACAAGGAAGCACAGAGGCAGTGTGGAAAACGCATCTCAGAACTAAGGGGTAAACAAAGAGCGATCTGGAAAGCAGACTCAGGCTGGAGAGGGACTTTTGACCTCTTTGTGACCCGTAAGCCATCAGTTTTGCAAGCATGGTGGTAATGACAGCAGAAAGCCAATCAGGACTTCTGAGAGAAAGGCAAGCACAAACATACTGTCAGTGAACAGAAAGAACAGAATAGAAATTAGAGGGGAAAAGGCTAAGTTGATCGCTCTTTTGGTTATTTTTTCCAAAGAGTTCACCAAGCTTATTCTTACCCTAAGGCAATGGTCAGAGGAGGTTTTGCACACAGGACAAAATCTTGGCAACATCTGGAGACCTCTGCATGTCACAACTGCATAAGGAGGAAGGATGCAACTGGTATCTAGTGGCTGGGATCAGGGATGCCCTATTCTCACAACAAAAAACTTTCCTACCTCAGCCACTGGGCTGAGGTTGAAAAACAGTGCTAAGGGAAAGAACCAGTAGGAAAAAGCCTATGGAGAACCATGCTCAGGAGAGGAGGCTTCCCTCAGAGATACAGGATAAGGAATCCAGTGAAGATGTAAGAAATATTATTTCTAATGCAAGAGATGAAAAAACTGAATAATCACTGACAAAAATTGCAAGTCAATGATAGAGCAGATGGCTTTGAGGTATTTGTTTCCAGGGGTTTCTAAGCTCAAACAGCAAGAACAGTATCAGTACACTTACAGGCTCTGGGTTGCTTGCATTTGAGGCAAATGGGAAGGAATGTTTTCTTTAAGATGCTCCACATCTTTATAATCTTCTTCCAGAGATTCACAGAGCTCCTAAAATTTAAAAAATGCTCATGAACAAGCAGAGTTTTGGGGCTGGGGTGTACAGTGGTAGAGCACTTGCCTGGCAGGTATGGGGTCCTGAGTTCAGCCCCAGTGCAGGGGAATTAAAAAAAATTGGCTTCTACACTGTTTTTAAATGGTGACAAAATATTTTTCTCAGCAAACAATCACTACAATCACATTACAACTATGAGGCAGTATTGAGTTTTAAGTCTTTCCCCAGTAACTTTAACTTTGGGACGTAACTAAGAAACAGATGAAAGATGGATGTTTTTTATTCTGGTAAACTGCTTTTAGCACACGTTCCCCATGTCACCTGTGTTGATGGTACCAGAGCAATGATAAGCACACGATGACCTCCACCCAACATTCATTCACTTTAACAAAAATTTCTATTTTATCATAACTGATTTTGGGTGTTTTCAGGTTTGTTTTTTTAAAATGTCTTTATTTAATTTCTACTGTAACTTGAGGCAACGAACTCATGCAAATTTTAACAGGGAAAATACTCTGTACCTTTGGGTTCCTGTCATCTGGAACAGGAACAGAAATCTCAAATAGCCTTCAGTTCTCAAGTGAATGTTCTCTAGACCCACACCTAACACTGGGTATTCTTGGATAGGTCAGAATTGAAATAGCAATAATGATTTCCATTTCAAATGTATGATGTCTTTCTTTTAAAGAGCTGACTGACAAAGACACTGGCTTCATTTTAACTAATAGTAGGACAGGCATAACCATACAGCTGGAAAACCTTTACAGCCCCTAAGGATTCCAAGGCCGAATGCAGCTGGAGAAGCCACCTTGTTCAATCCCATTAAACACTCCAATGGCTCTAATAGTAACTGAGATAATGGTACAGACTATTTTCTCATTAGGAAAAACACAAGCACTTTTATTAGCTGAAGTCAATTAGATGTCTTATTTAGAATGAAATGTGCATGTGAGTGAAACTCAAGTTTTTCTTGACTGAAGAATCCTTACGTTACATTTTATAAAAACACAGAAATGCAAAAATAGAAGAGAGTTAAGAAAAAGTCCAGTATTATTTTTCAAATGAATATCCTGAGATCCCAAGAAGTATAAAGACTTTCTTGGGGTGTCGGCAAGAACCAAGGGCAGCCAAGGTGAGACTCCACAGGTCCTCACCCAAGGCAAGTATTCTCTATACACTGCTATCCCAAGGCATGCTTTATTTACATTAAACCTGCCGAGAATTATTTAGAAACCCTCCTTTTTAGTTCAATGTCCCTGGCCATCAGAATGAAAAAAGAAATAGCTGTGGAGGTCTGGATTCTCTGGGAACATAACATAAATGGCACTCTATACCATAATTACATACAAGCTAAGAACATTATAACCCTAAAAAATCCTTGCAAATGACTTGGTGATCAGGGAGTTAGTATCCATTGCCTTTTTATGTTGTTTCTTCATTTGAAAAACATTACCTTCAGTGAAGCGTTAGTTTGTTCTTGAAACTGAATTTCCAATTCGAATTTATTTAGAAGTTCATTTACTACAATGATCTCATCTCCTATTTTATTTAACATTGTCTTCAAGGCAGGCTCTTGACCTGTTATAAACAAAGATAAAATGGAGGACAAAGTATATAGCAAAACAATATATGAGTACCCATGTGGACAAAGCTATGACTTAGACACACTTGGGCAAGAGAAAGGACTGTTCCTTCAGCCCTAGCACCTGCCTCCATGGATAATCATAGGCCTGTTTCTAAGTAGTTTGTAAGAGGAGGATGGAGAAGTAGGCACAAAGTGTTCCCTGTAGCTTTTGGTTCTTTTAAATTCCTTCACTACAATGAAACACCTAGAAATACTAAACAAGCACCCATATATATACACCTAGCTGAGCATTCATAAGAAGAAGGTAAATCTGCAAGGGTTCCTATGTAAAGAGGGACCCACAGAGAAGGTGGCAGATGTGAGTAGATGCTGTCACGGTCCTAGTCCAGGGTGGGGAGCGAGGCTAAAGCAGAGGGAGTCAGACTCAGCAACTGCATAGACTTGACCTTAATGGGGATAAGATCCCAGGCTTTGTGGCTTCAAAACAGGGCTGGAGTGGCTCAAGTGGTACAGTGCCTGCTTAGCAAGCATGAGGCCCTAAGTTCAAACCCCAGTACTGCCAAAAACATAAAATAAAATAAAAATGAGGCTTCAAAACAAGGTGTTGGAAATGACAATCTCAAATAAGGCCAGAACCAAACTTCAGATGGGGTAAAAGTACAACCTGAAAAATTCTAATAACTAATGTGACCTGGCCCTCAGGAGCGTTAGGGTTAAAGCTGAGGGGAATTCTCTTTGGGAATCTATAATATAGATCTGGGATTTATAGTTACGCTGCTCGAAACTAATCAGGCTGGGTACAGTGGCTCATGCCTGTAATTTCGGCTATTTAGGAGGTGGAGGCCAGCCCAGGCAAAACGTTAGCAAGACCCCATCTCAACCAATAAGGGGCGTGGTTCACACTTACAATACTAGCTACACAGGAGGCATAGGTAGAAGGATTATGGTCAGGCTGGCTGAGGCAAAAACAGATCTTATCGAAAAATAATTAATGCAAAAAGGGCTGGAGGTATGGTTTAAGTGGTAGAGCCAGTGTGAGGCTCTGAGATCAAACTCTAGTACTGCCAAAAACAAAAACAACAAAAAACTCCTAATCAGAAATAGGTAACACAGAAAGTCACAGGCTGGTGATAACCCTGGATTTGGTGTCTGTTAGAAACAAACACAAGACATTTGTATAAAGTATCATGTTTTCATACTTCCAGTCCACCTCCTAACACCTCTCTCTAATTTCACAGATTTGAAAAGGCACTGAGAGTTCCTTCCTCACTAGAAAGAAATTTTTAAAAATTTAAGGGCAAGACAAAAGCATAGGGGGAAAAATAAAACCTATCTTCATAATTAAATCTTTACTGTACTTCTGACAAACAATGAAATACACATACATAAAGCACCATAGGGCCATATATACAGATTATGAAGGCAGTAGAGGGAAAAGGCTAGAAGCTCCCAAGCCTTGCTGCTTGTTGTTACTGTGAAGATACGTAGAGGTACATGGAAACAGGCTTAGCACTGTCTGGAACCTCGTAAAGCACTGTAGTTTTCTAACTGAGCAATACTAGCTGTATTTGACACTCAGCTCATAACAACTAAAACAAGTTAGTAAAGAAAAAAAAAGAGTACTGATGACTCTAAGAAAAATTTCAGAGGGCTAAATAACCAGTTCAGTGCAGTGTATCTTTCTTAGTCACCCTGTAGAGGCTTCTTTACTGATTTGTAGTAACATAATCAACTTAGCCAATTCATACTTTTGGTAGTTACAGCAGCCAAGATGGCAGATCAACTACCAGATTTCCTCAAACAGGCTATGGAAACGAACAAATTAATTCTCCCCATCTTTACACTGACAGTTGTCCAATATGGAGTGATCTCCAGCCAGCCTCATGCTTTGGTAGGATCATTTGAATCTAGTTTTATAGCTTTCCAAATTATATCTGTTCATTCAACAGTAATCATGCTCTCAGAAAGAGAATCTAAAGAAAACTGACTATTAAAATTCTCAAAGTCCTTTCTAGATTTTTTTTTTTTTTTAAAATAAAAGAGGCATATAAGTAGAAAGAGTATTACGCTGGGAATTAAACTGTCAGCTGGGAGCGGTGGCTCACATCTACAATCCTAACTATTTGGGAGGCTGAGCCTCAAAGAATTGCTGCTGCAGGCCAGCCCAGGCCACTGCAAGACTCCATCTCAACCAACAGCTGGGCTAGGTGGCATACACCTGTCATCCCAGCTAAGGTGGGAAGCATAAATTGGAGGATCCCAGTCCAGGCCAGCAGGGCAAAAAAACAAGACCCTATCTCAATAACCAGACCAAAAAGGGCTGGAGGCATGGCTCAAGCAGTAGAGCACCTGCCTAACAAGCACCCTGAGTTCAACCCCGAGAACTGCCAAAAAAAAAGGACTCAGAAACTGTCATCCTACCAGAGCACTCATAAGCTGGGGGCCCTGTCAAGGCACTTGACTTCTTAGTCTTGGTTTCCTCGGGTATGAGATAAGGAAGCTTGCTAAGATGAGCTCACAGTGCCTGGCTTTAACTTTCTATGGAGTATGTGAACCCTAAAGCATGAAATGAATGAGTCTCCTTTATTAGAAGTTCTCAAGAAAGGACTGAGGAATATCAAATCCCTAGGAGGCCATGTGTCATTCGAGAAGGTCTATCTAACAGTTTCATATTTGGGGGGGGGGGACCCTTTAAGCTATCAAATTCATAATTTAAACAAAAGTTCAACATGATCTTCCCAGCAGATGGAATTCTATCTATTAAGAAATCTTTAACTCTCCTAGACATGGCTGGGAAACATTGTTTTTAAAACATTTTAGACACAACAGGGATCATCTGTTTCTTTGAACTTCATTGCATTACTCTTTTCAGCATATCAAAATATTTTTGAAGATGGTTACGACCTCCAACTTCTAAAAAAGTTAAATTCATTTTCAAGTATCTGTTTTGTAGTGATATTGAGACAAGCCTCAAAGCAGGCTGAGAGATGGTTCATGGGTTACTTCCATCTCTCTAGAGTTTTTCCACGTCAGTTCCCCCCGCCCCTTGCTTTATAGTATATCCATTTAGTTACAGAACCATGGATGGCAAATACTCTTCACCTCTTACTATGATGGTTTGGGGCTTTGGCTCAAGTAGTGGAGCACCTGGTTAGCAAGTGTGAGGCCCTGACTCACTAAGAAAAACATAATAAAACTAATGAATATTCAGCTCCTTATTCAATGTGTCCTCTGTACTGTTCAAAAGAGTGATACTGGAGTTCTTTAAAAAAAAAAAAAAAACACTATTCAAAATCTAAAATTACCTTCGTAGGACGCAATCAAAATGTGTTTTGTAGATCCAAAATCAGTAAGTCTCTTTTACTTACCAAGATTTCTTAATGACAGCGTTTTTTTAATATTGTCAATCTTTTCATTAACATGTGAGCATAACTGCTCCAGATCTGAGGAGTCCATTCTTCAAGCGTCTGGAAAACAAAAAAACCCAAAACACAGCTAAGCACATTCGTTGAGAGAGCGTGAGCGAGAGAAATTTCTGTTCATTTTCAAAATCCAAAAATGGTAAACACTGAGTAAATTACATTTCCTTGAAAGGAACGTACAAAATTCAAGAGTAATTTCTTTGAATTCTACGAATTTCAGTTTCTAACCAAAGCACAGCACTGGCAAGCCTTAGAGCCTTCCGCAGTCGATGGGTCTTACACCAGGGTTCGGGAGATAATCCTGGGTCATTTCCTTAGGGGTTCGGGAAGACAAAAGCACTATTTATGCACAAGACAACATCAGTACTTCTTCACAAAGGCAAAAATACACGTGCATTTTAAAGAAACACGGCAATTTCAAAATGGGCCTAGGGAAGCGTTTTTCCCACGGGATGGGTGGGTGGGGGCGGGGATTATCACAGTTGGGGTCGGCAAGAAGGCGGAGTCCCGGGTCACTCCAGAGTCAGTGCCAATGGCGGATCCCGAGCGTCCACCCTGCTAAGCCCAGCATAGGAACGCCACGCCACGCCGCGTCCTCCGCCGGCCCCGCGCGGTCCTGCGCCCCGACCTGCCGAGCGAGCGCTGCCTCCGCTGCTTCCGAGGTGGGGATCCCCAGTGCCAGACTTCAGCCTCACGCGGTCCGGGAACTAAGCACCCACAAAGTCGCGAGTTACGCGGGAAGCCGGGAGCAAAATTCAAACAGCCCGCCGGAAACGACGTCACGCAGACGCACAGAGCGCACCCAGAGCGCAGGCTCGGCGGCACGTTTCCGGCTCACCCAGGGCACGGATGGGCGGGAGGGCGGGGGCGAGGGCTAGGTGGGCGGGGCCAGAGAGGGGCGGGCTAGGGGCGGGGCCAAGCCCGGGGCTTTAAAGGGCGGTTTCTCCAACCCCGACACGTTCCCATTTGATGTGAATCAGTCGCTTGGTTGTACCAGGAGCCAAGGGTTCCAGAGATAAAATGGCAAACTGACGCTGGTTCTCAAACTCTGCTCCGCAGAGAGTCAACCAGGAGCGGTATTTACAAATCTCAATGGCTAGGCACAAATCAATGAGATCAGACTTTCCCCGTGAGGCCCACGCTTTAGTATGTTTTCAAAATACCCCCAAATAACTCCAAAACGTAGCCAGGTTTGTGAGCTAAAAGTGACAGCGTCTTTCAGGGCTTCCAAGCTTTGTAAAGGAAAATACAGATTTACAATAAGATGGGAAAAGCGTCCAAAGCTAGAGTGGTAGTGCTGTAGGAAACTCATACAGAGACACGGGACTCTGAGGTGAGGAAGCAGCACTTCCTTGTACAGCACAGACTCAGCGGACTCGTGTCCAAAGGCTGAGCTCGAGAACAAAGGGGTCTCACCTTATATACCCTTGCAAGCAGGTTACAGAAGCAAGAAGCAAGGTTTAACCCATGTGTGGTTGCATGCAACTCTATTGGCAATGTCACCCCCAGTGCTATGTGACCTTCACGTTTAGATTCTTTAAGTTTTATCTCCCTGCTATGCCATCCTCTCCCCCTGCTGCATTATCAGAATACAGGCCTGTCTGTTTTTTTTTCTGGTCCTCCTCCCTGCTACAGTACCCGGGTTCCTTCTAGCTTTTGTTTCTGCCATTCACACACCATACATTTAGCCTTCAGTTGCCTGTGGTGCCACACCACCCTTCCAGTCCCAGCCATCATGTCTTTGTTCCAGGCAACAGAAAAGAGAAGGAGGAAATGGTGATGGCAACAGACCTAGCACCTTTAAAGCGTTTCCCTGGAAGCTGCACCCAGTACTTTCTGTCTACTTTTCCCTGGTCACTGATATCTGCAAAGGTAACCCCCCCAAAAATTACAAATTTAATCTAGACAGTTACCTGCATTCTCAAGACTATAGGAGTTCTATTTGTGATGGAAATAAGAGCATAGATACTGAGTAGATAATGGAGTTCAAAACATGACACCCCCAAATATGCCATTCCGATATATTATTTTTAGTTAAAGGCATTTGAAAAACAGCAGATACAAAAAAGGCACACCACCTTCCCTTCTCTTCCTGAAAGTAGGAGATCCGACTTCCATGTGAAAGATGACTTGATGTGCCAAGTGGAAAGAAACATTTTATCACTAGAGATGGGAAGTCAAAGCCAAGAGAAAAGTGTACAAATAACCTTGTTAAACTAACCCTTCTCTTCCTAGTCACTTCTCCATTATTAACTACCTTAGCCAAAGCCCCTTGTCATGTCACATAATCACCATTTAGTACTCTTTGTACAATTTAGTATATAAGCATTGGATTCTAAGCAGGTCCTTGGGTCTTTATTTTCTGGTAAGAGCTCCCAAGTACGTGTGAAAAAAATACATTAAAATATGTGTTTTTTCTCTTGTTAATCTGTTTTTGTCTCAGTCCCAGTCAGAGACTCTAGAACAGTGGAAGAAAATGTTACCTCCTTTACATAGGCAAATAGACCACTTATGTTTATTGTTTTTACCTTATGAGGATTTTGGGGAAGGCAGTGAAGTAGAAAACACCAGAATCTGTCTCCCAGCTTAGACAACAATTATACTGGCAAAAACTGTTTCATGTTACTATTTTGAAACTCTGGAGTCTACCAAAGTCTTGAAACTTCCAGGAGAAAGCTTGCATGGTAAATTGTGGCTAATTTCCATTAATTATAGTTATTATCACAGTAGCAGCTCCCCATCTTCCACTTTCAGCCCTGTGACAGGCAGCTGTGTGCGTGTTTCTGGGAAGCCTGCACCCAGCTAGCAGAAGCCAGGAGTACAAAAGGGTCCCTGGGTTCCAAATATCTAGAATCTGAGCTCTGGATACTGCTTGCTCTTTAAAACAACTATGAGGGGAGGGGTACTTGCTTGCTTGTCTGTTTTGCAGTACTGGATATTGAACCTAGGACCTGGTGATGTGGGCAGAGGAAGGGGTGGAGATGGAGATGTATTAGAGGCAGGTAAGAATAAAACCAAAACCTCTACCTATCATGATTCTTTTTTGGCAGTACTGGGATTTGAACTTTGGGGCCTTACAATTGCTAGTTAGTTAGTCACACTACCACTTGAGCCACACCCCCAGCCCTTTCTGGCTTAGAAGTTTTGGAATAAGATCTCACATTTATGCCCAGGATGGCATGGACACAATACTATTTATACTTCCCAAGAAGCTGGGATAACAGGTGCACACCCCCACACCTATCTTTTTATTGGTTGAGATGGGGGTCTTTTTGCCCAGACTGGCCTTGAACCAAGTTCCTACCAATCTCAGCCTCTCAAGTAGCTAGAATTACAGGTGTGAACCACAGGTTCCAAGCTTGAAAAGTGTTCTTAAAAAAACAATTTAGGTTAAAGCCACTGAAATGGCCCAAAGAACTAACAGAAATTGTAGAAGCATTACTTACAATATGGTCCCATTTTTATAAAAAAAAAAAATCCACCTCTACTCTTCTGCCTACAGCTCTTTCCGTTCCTCTCTAGCTATTGCTTTAATCACGTACATGATTAAGAAGATTGTGTGAAATGGTATCCAACTAAGAGTAATTAAGATTACTTGTGGGCAGTGAGATATGGTGTGACATTTTTATTTTGAGATTTGCATTTTGATGTAAAAAATTTTATATTCAAGTCTCCATTATTTTACTGAAAAAGTAAAACAGCATGGGTTTTCTTTTAAGAGGGAGGTTGGATTGGAAACAAATATGCCAAGAAGGTTAACAATAGTTACATATAATGCTATTCATAATATATAATTTTTTCCTGCCTTTTTCAATATATATTTGGTCTTCACATCCATGGACTTAACTAACCACAGATCAAAAATATGTGAAAAAATTGTGCCAGTATTAAACTGGGAAACTTTTTTTCCTTGTCCTCATTCCCTAAAAAGCCCTGTCTTTTTTAAAATTCATTTATTCATATGTGCATACATTGTTTGGGCCATTTTTCCCCCCAAGCACAGTCTTTAGGGAATGATTTGCTTTACATTGAATTAGGTATTATAAGTAATCTAGGTATGACTTAAGTATGTGGGAGAATTGCACAGGTTATATGCAAATGCTCTGCCATTTTACATAGAAGACTTTAGCATCCGAGCATTTTGGTATCTCTGGGGGAGAAAGGGGTTCCTGGAACCAGTTCCCTATGGATTACAATGAATGACTGTACGTAAATAAAATACACTCTGTTTTAGTTAGATCAGGATGCTATAACAAAATACTATAGACTGGTGGGTGAAACAACAGACATTTATTTTTATACTTCTGGAGGCTGGAAGTCCAAGATCAAGGTGTCAGTTATCTGGCTCCTGGTGAGGTCCATCTTCCGGACTTGCAGATAGCTGTGTCCTCCCATGAGATGGTGGGGGAATCTTCCTCTCCTTAGAAGTCCACTCATCTTGTTATATTACCGCCCTACCCTTACATAATCTTATTTAAAGTTAAGATGTCCTATACACGTCTCCACATTTACACATGAATTTTGGGAAGGTACATACACAATTTTTTAGTATGAAAGACTAACCTTTTATGTCTGTAGCTACTGGAGCCCTACATCCTAATGTGACAGCATGTGGAGGGAGCACAAGATGAGAGGGCCATCTGCCCACTGAAGGAAGTAGACAAAGGCACACATGACAAAATTTACATACTGATTTTTCAATAACAAGGAGAAAATCTGTCCTCATTCTAGTTCACATACTGTAGAGGATGGCTGCTGCACATGGGGGTACAAAATGCCCAACCCAAACAACAACGTTTGAACAATGCCTTTAGTCTTGGCAGGCTGTAGGTGGGCCAACTTGAGAGACACTCAGCTGGCTGCAAATCAGAGCATCGGTTTGTACTCAAAGGAAGAAGGCATGTACTAATATAGCAGCTTTGAAGTCAATGTTTCTCCTGTTTTTTATAAACAGAGATGGCGTTTTAGCACCTTTTGCCACATGCTTAATTCACACAAAGGAAAAGAGTAAACACACACAGTATCATTCAAGGTCTTGGCAAGAA